TCTTAATACCATAATTTAGGACAAATTAACATTGATTATCATGAATCGGAACGCATTATTTTAATGCGAACCACTTTTTGAATTCCAATTGAAAGCAATAGCTCATTGCACATCAAGGAGAAACGATTCTCGAATAGGCGTATTCAAACCGCGGATCTATGCGAACAGCTTTCAATGCAGCTAAAGGGTAAACCTATCTTTGAATTCAACATATTGGTAGCTTTCAATGCGCCACAGAAATATTAGCTCATGTTGCTATACAGACAAACTATTCTACATAGATTTACATAAACATGACGTATACAGAATAGAATGGAGCACTAGTCAAAATAAACTGTTCCGACGACGCGAAGGAACCTCGAGCTCGAGGGAGAGAGCCTGAGTATTTGACACTTTCAAGTGTTTTTCCCAGAAAATTCGGACTCCACGTCGTCGATCCCTAACAAAGGCGTTTAGTTTCGGGTGCCTGAGATCTGGGACTCATCACTCCGCATTCTCCCACTCGGGTATGCCAGGCTATATTTTATGGTGTATACATCTGGTATCGCAGTAGGACACCGACCGATAAGGGTAAAACGAGACGAGAAATCTTGATATTGCCGAGCATTCAAGATGCTCTCGTTTTCACTCACCTAATCCCACCCTCTCGGGCCTAAATCATGTTTGAGATGGGTGGGGCCTTGACTCGGTCTTAAAGGAGGACACGCCGATTGGAAAAAGAACTCATAAGAAGAACCAATCAGCATGTTTCCCGACTCCGATGCGTTTGTCGCCGAGCAGTGTTAGCATCGTTTCGGCTAACCTGTTCAATTTCGTTTGGGCTAGTGACTGGTCATCGTTTCGGACATTAATCGAGATTGAGAACTGCCATATACAAAAGATCATAGGCAAAGATCGAGATCATAAACATGCCAACCGTTTCGGGCACTGATCGAGATCATAAGGCGATTATCCTTGCTAAACGTTTCGAGCAAGGATCACCATTATCAAGGTGCCAACCGTTTCGGGCCCGATCGAGATCATAAGGCAATTATCATACATATTCTGCCAATCGTATCGGGCACTTTGAACAAGTAAAGGTTAAATTAATTTTTAACTTTTACGCACGAACTCGGACGAACAACGTACGAAGTTAGTTCGAGACGAAACAAAACTTAATGTACAATTTCAACATCTCTCAAACTCCATCGTCTTATTGTTACATTCCGATGTACCAACAACGAAGTTAGCTATTGATTTCAGATTTCATATTTTTATTATAACTTTTTTATAAAACGTTTCCAGATCTATGTTTATATAACATTTTTTTTTTTTATAAAATACTGATGCAGTTTGGTCCTTTAATCCGGGGACACTCTATATAAAGATATTTTCAAATGGATCAGAAAGAAAATTCCTGATTCCCATTGCTCTCGAAATTCAGCATTGTGTTCCACTCTAATTGCGGACATCCAATCATAATCAGCGAGTAATCTCGTTTGTCATTTGTCTTGATCGTTCCGCGTTTAACCGAGTATACCCGTCAGCAGGATAAATTTTCAGAACGAGAAGAACGTTCTCGCAATTCTTTCGCTCGGTGAATCGCACCAGTCCGCAATCCGTTTTTTGAGCTGGCATCTTCATTTGTCACCAGTGTAAATAACGAAGAGTTATATACTCCACTTCAAAAATTAGTCAGACAGCCAGAACAAAATTGTTGAACAAATTGACGTACTATTTTTATATCATTTCAAGTTCCACTGTGTACAATACTTTTTTACGCAAAATTTGATACTTTATCCAAACTTGGAAAAAAATATTAGACATTTCATGTAAACATCTGGAAGTGACCCTAACATCTCAATAAAAAAGTAAAATAATAAAAAACAGATTAAAGCACTGTATGTCCTTCTGGATACTATCCATCTTTTATTTGAAACATTCCTTCATCGAATAACTTGTGTTATTTGAGGTCGTCATGTTATAAAACTCATCCTGTATAAGAAGATTTAATTTTTATCTTTTCAGAGAAGTACTAGATGAACTAAAAATCTTCTTATATAAGAACGAAAAATGTAGTTCCGTAAACCCATATTTTGCACTATTTCTGCCTGGTGATCGATAAAACAGAGTAAAAAAAGTTAAAATTTTACCGACAGATGTTAGAAATGACACGCGGCCATTCTAGCCCTTTAAGGATGATCTTATTCGACACTTTATTAAAATACCAGACTGAACTAAGACATTGAACATAGAATCTGAACGAAATTTATTTTAATATAATGTCATAATGCATATATAAAGAAAATAACATTTATATTCTCGAATCTCGTTTACTGTTTTCTAAAATCTGATTCTGATCTGATTTCTGATTTCTAATGGTGAAGTACTCTCACAGAAGAGCGGCAGGATCTTTCAATTATTCGTGGGAACGTTAACGAACCTTCGGTCGAGAAAACCGATAATGAAATGCGAGACGGATGCTGCGTTTTTCATTGCGCAGAATTTAATCGTCGCCGCGTCGATTTTCAGGGGTACATTGCTACAGTATGCTGCACGGTAGTACCGGGAAGAATAGCAACGCTCATCAGAACAGTCTGGAAGACGTCGGTTCGCAGACTGGCCCGTACTTCGACTTGTCCAACTCGAAGAACGTAACCACTATCCTTGGTAAAACCACCTATTTGAATTGCCGGGTGAAGAATCTAGGAAACAAAACGGTGAGTGATAAATGCAGCTCATAGCTATTTCTACTTTGCAATACGCTTTTTATATCGGATCATGCAGTTTTAAGTTGCCATGTGTTTGATTTTAATTAATATTTTCACCTGATTTTAGTTTCTTACTTTGATTAAGTGCACATTAAAATGCATATTACACAGAGTGGTTCACCAAATATTACCACCTCAATTTTCGTCATTATTATTTTACGTAGCAAAGAATGTTTATATAGAATGTCCTGAAGAACTGTATATGCACTTTAAATAAACATAAAGTTGGTGTTTATTAAAATACATTTCATTTTCAAAATTTAACAGATTGTATAGATATTATTTAATTAGCGTGAGTACATTTTTTTGGGACATTCTATATAATGTTCAATGGTTCCGAGAGAGGCACATTCTAGTGTTACATACATACATCTTTTCCTATTCTTCCATAGTGTGCTGGACAACCATTTTGTTGTTGCAGGTTGTGGTATATGCAAAGGCAAATCATGTAAGGATGACCATCAAATATTTGTTAAAAAATATGAATATTTTTGCCTAGACAATGATCTTTCGATAAAGTATACTCCAATAATACGACTCCCAAGATATCGCCTTAACTAATGTTGTTCACTCCGAAGAGGTGAGGCGAGTAAATCTACCAGAACCGTGGTTGATTTCAATAAACTCACGAAACACGTCGATTTTACGGCTCTCACGAATTTATTAAAACTTTTTAAAGAAATGGTACAGCACGCTCAAACAATACACCCTGTCGTTCTGACTCAGAAAAACGAAGTGAAGCCCGATCGGCTCGGGATGCCGATTTTATACTCCAAAACGCTACCACCGCCGCACCAAATCAGATGGCCTGCTGGCAAAAACGATGCCACAGCCGCGCCAATGCAATCGCTTTACAATTAACAAACGCGTCTAGATCGCGCCAACGCGATCGCTCTACAATTAACAAGCGCGGCTAG